GAATATAGGAAGAGAAATTAATAGGTCCCCACTGACACCTCCATATCAGTGAGGATTCATTTGGATGCAAACAAGGAGAGCATGACTCAAAGTGGCTTAACAATAAAGGAAATGTAATGACTTGAGAAAACATATATGTAGAGGAGTGTCTTTCTGGAATCTGAGGACTAACTCAGCTACCCAATGATGTCACTAAAGCCCAGTTTTGTTTTGTTTTTTTCTAACTCTACTCTCCCTGCCATGGTGTCAGATACATCCTAAGACTGGCTTCTCCACCCCCATGGTCTCAAGATGACTGCCAACAGCTCCCTGTGCTGCCTGCCGCCTCTTTCACATCCATCAGGAAAGAGAGTCTGGTCCCAGTATTCTCAGCAAAATTCCTGAGAGTCACATTGATTGACTGGCTTAGCTCACATGCCCATCTCCTAAACCAATCCTTGCAGCCAGGGAATTGAAATACATATTTGGTTCAACCGAAGACATGTGTTCCACCCATCAAGCTGGGCGTGTACTAAGCATGACGGAAACACATAAAACCGAAATGGAAATCACAACTCTTTGGAAAGGAGAGTGTGTCATGGATACAAAGAGGCTACTAACAAATGTCTACTAAAACCCCAACTCAAAGAGGTGAGGTTGGCGCTGTCCTGAGACTCAGAGAGAAGGAGGGCACTGGGAACTCATCGGAAATCCCAGCCTTAGGACCTCTCACCTCAGCCAATAAACAGCATCAGGGCTGCAGCAGCAGCAGCATGGGAAGGCCTTAGACTTTGTTCCTGGTAAAGAGTCTCAGCAAGCAGAGGACTGGGCATGACAGGGAGCTGTTCTGTCCTGCATTTGTGCAATGGCACAAGGCTCAAGTGCTGGTTGTGACTGTAGCTGTGGTTCTAGATCCTTCTCCAGGTCCCTTAATCTTCCAAATCACTGAGCAAGCAATCTGATATCATTGTATTTTTCTCATTTCTTCCTTCAAAACAAATTTTATTTGGGATATTTTGTCATAAACCCACACACTATCAGAAACCAGTCCGACTCTTTCTTGGCCATAAATCAACACCAAGCAAGTAAATAAATCCCTCTATAGGAATGGGAAATAGAATAACTACAGAGTCCAGTAAACTACTCTACAGGTCAGAAGAATAAAGTAAAAATATCTAAGATGGCTCAGTAGAGCTACCTTTCTTTGAAAGAGAGTTATTTCAAGAAATAGAAAAATTAGAAATTTTATGATTCATGATTCTTTGACTTTAATTTTCAGATCACAAGTGTACAGCTGAGTTTATCATATGCCTCAGTTCATGAAACACTAGGTAATTCATATTTCAACACGATTTAAGAGCATAGAGTCTGTTACCATGAAAAAGAAATCATTTTGTAATAAAAAAGAATTGCACCGGAACAGTCCTATTTATCTTATAAGCAAAATCGATGTCAAATCATTATAAAAGCAGTTAAAAGCAACTTGGACTCTGCAGAAAATGGAACAAGCAAAATTGTACATGATGTCAAGACATTATCCCTGACTACAAGGGAGAAGGTAAATGCAAAGAAAATAATGTAAAGAGAAGATGAAATATCAGAGTCACAAGATAATAGTAGATCTCCCCTAAAGAAAAAGAACCAATGAAAGAGAGATAATTGTCAAATAATACAGAAAATATTCCTTATTTAGGAAAAGTATTTTAAATAATTGAGAGTTCACGTCAGATCCCAGGGAAAACAGAACCCACTTTGACATATGCTGGTTAAACATTTCTGGCTTCAAATATAGAAAATCAATTTTTTTAAAAGAAAAAATACAGAAGTGAATTTAACAGTTAAAAAAAATATACACCAGGGGCCGGCCCTGTGGCGCAAGTGGTTAAGTGCACGCACTCCCCTGCGGCGGCCCGGGTTTCGCCGGTTCGGATCCCAGGCGCGCACCGACGCACCACTTGTTAAGCCATGCTGTGGCGGCGTCCCATATAAAGTAGAGGAAGATGGGCATCAGGGCCAATCTTCCTCAGCAAAATGAGGAGGATTGGCATCAGACGTTAGCTCAGTCCTGATCTTCCTCACAAAAAAATATATATATATACACCATCACAAAGAAGTTTAAAAAAAAAAGTAGAGACCCTCCAAAGAGCAAATATGCCAACTGGCCACTTATTTCAACAACTACTGATTGAAAATCGTGTAAAAAATGTCTACAGACCATTAGAAGAAGATATTGCAGTGCAAGAATTCCATATCTGGTTTTCATATGTGATAGCTAAATAAAGACATTTTCAGATATGAAATGGCTCAGAATATGAACTGCCTAGAAAACTTTCCTGTACAAATAACTCAAAGATGTTGAGCTGTATCTAGAAGCATTAATCATTTCAAGCATGGTTCCACTGGATTTTTGTAATGCTGAAGACTAAAAGGAAGCTCAAATAAAAATCATACCTCTTTTCAAAAACTAGGAAGAAATTTTTCTTAGGAATTTGGCAATTCAACGACCTATATTGGCCAGCAAGTCACGTAAGCAAGTAAACAAACCAGGATATAAGCTGTCATGACAGACACACTTTTTTCAGTACACTTTTTATTGAAGTAAAACATTCATAAACAGAAAAGTATACTGAGCATAAGTGTCCAGTAAATGAATCTCCACAAAGACAACACAGCCAGGTGCCGGCACTCAGATCAGGAAACTGAACGTACAAACATCACAGAAGCCACACCCCTGATTCGTCGTCACCGCCTCTTCCCAAAGATAAAACCACCATCCTAACTTCTAACACAGTAGAGTAGCTTTGCCTGTTCTTGTTGTTCATATAAGTGGAATCACATAGTAGGGCTTCTCTCACTGAACATTATGTTTGGGGCTAGAGTAATTGTTCCTTTGTTTTCATTGTTGAATATATCGACGTATTTGTCTGTTGATGATGGACATCCTATTCAAACTGGCTGTTTCCAGTTTGGGGCTATTCTTTGTAGTGCTGTTAAAAGAAACAGAACTCTACCAGCACAGTGATAAATCGGAACCAACATTAACCTGTGTCAGGGAGACCACAGGGAGTGGCAGAGACTGTGGTGAATTGGACACTGCTTGTCCTATCTGAAACAGGAAGCTTGTCTTCAGATCTAGTCCTTCAATATATATATGGGAGTGTGGGAATGTGAACAGAAAAAAAAGCTTGCAATCCAAATATTCCTATTAAAATGTCCTAATTTTTTTTTTTCTGAGGAAGATTAGCCATGAGCTAACATCTGTTGTCAATCCTCCTCTTTTTGCTGAGGAAGATCAGCCCTGGGCTAACATCTGTGCCCATCTTAAATGTGGGAGCCACCACAGCTTGGCTTGGTAAGTGGTGCATAGGTCTGTGCCCGGGATCTGAACCTGTGAACCCCAGACTGCCGAAGCAGAGCACACAAACTCAACCACTATGCCACCGGGCCAGCCCCTAAAATGTCCTAATTTTTAATGTTGGGTTAATATTTTTTTTAAAAAGCTGTAGGCCCAATCAGAACTCCGCAACTTGAAACCTCAGATCTGGCTATTCGTGATACGGGAGCAGCTTGTCAGCCTTTAGACTTTGCGTGGGGCCCATCCACATCCCTGGTGGCTTTCTCCGCAGCCAAAGCTTATCCTGATTGAGTAACCCAGGCAGGAAGCAAAAAGATGAGGAGAGCTGCCCGCTCTGTGGCACTGCAGAGAACCTCGTGTGTCACACTGAGAGACAAAGGGCCACCTCAGCCATCAGCATGGTGGCCCCAGGGTCTTGAAGGAGAAGCTGACCCTGGAGATTGCCTTTCCTCCAGGGTGTCCCTTCCCATCCAAAACAGTTCCTTGTCCTCCTCCTCCTTGACAAAGCAGGTGGAGGTTGCACTATTTTGTTCAGGATAATCCTTTGTGACTTTTCTGTAGACTCTTAATTTTCTTATTTAAGTTACAACCAGAGGTTGGAAATTTTTGCATGGGGATCAAATATCCCATTACCATTATCCCTCAGGAAAGACAGCTTTACAATCCCGTGTGCACGAGGGGACAAATAGATAAAGTAAGACCTTCGTTCCACAAACCAAAAGCTAAAATACTTTGTTCCTTTTTCTTTCTTCCTAAAGTGAAACAATTCATTGCTAGACCTCCTTGGCAGGAGCTCAGACTATTTTAAGCTGGCTCCATGCTGGCAAAATAGAGAAATGCTATAGATAATGTGTTTTGGGTTTGGTGGCAGTGACAGTGGCGACAGTGGTGAAGGGGGATTTCGAGTCATTTTTCAAAGTTCTGAGTAAATGATATTCTAATAAGACCAAGATGAGAGTATTAAAGACTAATACAAAAATTATCACAGGCTGAGATCTATAAATTAGACCTTTTTTTCCTAAGGCAGCATTTCTCAAATTTTTAACAAATGTAAGAATCACTTGGAGAGCTTATTAAAACACAGACTTCCGGCTCCAGCCCCAGAGTTTCTGACTCAGGGGGTGGAGAGGCTGCAAGAATTTGCCTTTCAAACAAGTTCCCCAATGATGCTGATGCTGCTGGCCTGGAGACGCCAGTTTGAGAACCACTCACCTAAAGAAACCTTCACAACAAGTATCTGTAATGATTCTAAACAATGAAAACTTCAGTAAATTAGACTTAAATAGAATTCATTTGAATTTGTTTTTACAGTCTATAGGAATATTTTTTTCAATACTCCGTTCATTCTTGATAATGTATGCAATATCTCCACCTAGTTTCTTTAGGGCGCTGCTCTAGTAAGCATGTTGGTAGATACAAATGCCTTTCCATTTGCATTTTACTTATTTGAAAATCACTGCTCACCAATTTGTTCCCAAGTACAATGATCGTTTCCTCTATTATTCAATGCTTATCAAAACATTCCACTCATTAAATAGATCCACACAAAATGTTTTAAGATCTGAGCAAAATAATGTTGAAAGGAATGGTTCTCACAACTTGAGAGAAAATAAACAGAATGGAAACCTAGAACTGCCTCACTGAACTATCGATGATGATTACTGAACACCTGAAGGGGAAGTAACAAGCCACATTTGCATCATTTCTGTACTGGATCAGCCATTGCTCAGTAGAAACCAATCACCTGACTTTTTCTTAGGCGGTCTTAGATTCTGAACTTGCTTCCCTTTAGGCTTTTTCATAAACAAATAACGAGAAAAGTCTCTAAGGAGGGAGAGGCTGGTTGCTCTTTCAGCTTGCGTCGTTTGCCTGCACTGGGCCAGGGAGGGTGCATTGTTACAGGTGTGGCACCTGTTCTCCTGAGCCCTTGCCCGCCTGCTCACTCCGTGGTTCTGCTGATACCCTTGTCAGGACCCACTTGGACAAGGTCACCTTCAGAGGCAGACCACCACACAGGTATTAGAGGCGACGTTCAGCTGCTCTCTGGGTTTCCCTCCTACATTTTCTGTTTGTTCGGATCCTGTTGCTACCAGCTTCTTCTGGCTCTGTCTTGCTGGTCTTTCCAGGGCTAAGTAGAATGGGTGAATTATTAATCTGTGTGGTTTAATTTCTAGTACACTGAGATTGCTTCCCCAGCAGTGTGTGTGTGGGGTTGGGGGTGTTTGCTGTATTCTTAAATGTTGGGAGATCAAAGCCTGGTGAATTTTGTTTATGATCATTTATTGATTTAGTCTTTTAGAGAACGTAAAGGAAAAGAGTTAGCCTGAATTCTTCTTCTGTTAACTTTTGATTCTCTACCGGATCCACAGGGCAAAATCATTTAGGGGGGGGCCTCCCAGGAACCTCAACCATCACCTCAGTTAATCCCTGCAATGAGCCTGTGAGGGAGGTATTTTCATAAAGGCAGCCTGGAGGCTGACAGAGGGGGAGTGGCCTGTCCTAGGTGACAAGCTAGCTGGTGGTAAGGTGGGGAGAGAAACCAGGTCATTTACTCCAGAGCCCCGGCTCTTCCCTCTCTGCAGACTGTCTCCCAAAGTCCTGCAGCGTTTAAAGTCTCTCCAGCTCTGCGGTGAGTGCTCTCAGCAGTTCCTATTGTCTTGGTTCCAATATTTAAGACACTGGCCAACAAATAATACTTAATGACTCTCAAGTCCTATGGGACATAATAACCTCCTACCGGCCACCACACCCGTGTCAGGATGACAGGAAAGGAAATCCCATCCTAGCCCCTCAAGGGAGGAGAAAGAAGGCACAAGGACAGAGAGGAAACACAAGGACTAAGAATTCTGATAGAACTGTTATGCAAGTGCCTGTGTAAACATATGAATTCCTGTAACGGCCTGGCTGCCTAGAACTTGGACAACACTATAAGAGAAAATACTAGAATCCCCTGGGTGTGTACGTGTGTGAAAGCACCGGTAACTCCAGTCCTCAGCTTAGCCACTTGCTTGTTAGGAGAATGAGGAATGGGCCCCTCCCATTCAGGACCTGAAAAGAGACCTAATACACCTGTTTTCATCAATGGTCAGGACAGGCCTTTTCAGTCTTCTCCAGCGAAGCTGGTAGCAGCCTTTAAAGCGGCAGCCAGAAATTATCAACCTAAAAACAAAGCCAGTTCCACCCCACCTTTACCAAAATGTAAGTTTCCTAGCGGGTATTACCCTCTCCCCCCACCTCCCAAATAAGGATATCTCATGCATTTTTGTTCTACGTGTGAAGTTCTGTAACACTTGAGTCCTCAGCTCAAAATATTAAGTAAATCCAGCACTAAGAATTGCAGATTTCTTTTGTAGATAAGAGTGGAGTTGACTAGTTGGTATCTAAGCAGTTCCTTCAACAACTCTCCAGTCTAAAATCCAGTACCTGTTTGTTTCATTTGGCCTTAAACCAGATGAGAGCCAAAGAGTAAATACAGGAGAACATGGAGTCCCCAAGATCAATGTCACAGCAGTGTCATGACAATGTCATAACATTGGGTTCCTCTCTTTTACTAATAAGAGTAAATCTAAGAGCCTACTAATTCTCTTGATGCAGAGTTGTTGGACTCTGTGCCTGAAAGAGATTAGAAGAAATAAATTAAAGGGGAGAGAGTGGCTACTGTAGGCAAGTACACAAGCTATAATGAGAAGGAATGAATAAAATTAGGGAGTACATCAGTGTGGGCCACTTAGTGTGGCGTAAATAACCATATGCTATAAAAACCCGTAACGATTATTGTATTCTCCATAGAACTTCAGTAAACATAGTAATAATCATTGTATTTCAGCTAGTACTGTGATTGATACTCAACATAGGGAGGCCAGGTCATCAACAAAAGATTTATTGGAATTGAGTGTTCTCTGTTATCAAGTTGAGGAAGCAAATAATACACTGTAGAAAAAGTTCTACTAAAAAGTGCCTTCAGTGGAATTAAAATTGCATAGCACTACAAAAGTAAATTATTAGCCCTCCTTAAAATTTGTCCACTCAAACATGTTCATTCCCGAAAGGTTCTAGATTGCTGAGTTTTGCTTTAAACTCATAGACTTGCTAGAATTATTATTGGAGATCTCAGAATATATGGTCAACTATTGATGTTTCATCCACAAAAAAGTCATGCACAGTGTGAAATCACCTTCCACATTGCTCCTGGCAAGAGGAGATGGTTAGATTACCCACTGCACGGTCCCACACCAGGTCTATAAATAATCAAGAGTTGACTCAAGCCACAGTTGACAGGATGGGTAAGGATTGATGCTTTCCCACACATAACTACTTTCTTTATATGAGAAACTACAAAATAATGGAACTACAATAAGTCATTTCCACATCACCATGAATCAAGCCGTCAAATGGTAGAACCAGCTTTGCTTGAGCGTGAGAAGAGCTTAACTGGGTGGTAATTCTGCATTAGTGAATTCTAGAAAACACTTTTAATCATGAGAAGTGGGGCATCTGGATGGCATCTAGGTTTTTCTTTTCAAACTTTTAAGTTATTTTTCCAAGACATGGGGATGGATAAAATCTAGAATGTCTTTTGCTAAATACTTTACATCAATATCTTTGAAACCATGTCTCATTCTGTAATTTAAACCTTGGAGGCAGGGGCCTTGTTTTCCTTGTTCTTACATCCTTACATCCCCAGAATACATATGCCAAAGTCCTAAAGTAAATAAACACAAAATGTAAGGAAAATTTCATGTACATTTGATTCTCCTAAAATGGAATAATCAAAAGGTGATGAGCTTTGTGGCTTCCAAGAGGTCTCTTAGGTCACCAAGGTTTTTAAGAGCTTTTTTGTTTGAACCTGGAAGGAATATTAAGTAAACAGTAAACAAATTTCACCATACAAATTATTTAGATGGAAAAGCTGGAATCACTTACGTTACTTATCTTCAAACCGTAAAGGATGTTGTTAACTGGTCTCTACCTATCTCCTATGACAAATTAGAAGTTTTCATGTGAAATTTCAGACACCTTTTTTCTCACCTCAATCTCCCTCATTTGTAACAGATTCTGCACTCTGCTCTTCCTCACTGAAGATGCAACAACCCGCTTCCAACTATCCTCTGGAAAAGGACAAGGGCATACCAGTGGAAGAGTGGCACTTGAATGTGGAAACTGAACAACCCCAGTGTGGTCCAGAGAACAGCAAATCCGACAGTGTCCCCTGGAAGCTTCCAGCAACAGAGCCTCTTAGCTGCATGGAGAAGACGGAGTCATCCTGCCCAGAGGTGCAGCCCCAAGGCTGCAGGGCCTATCCTCAAGCCCCGCTGAGGAGTCTGTCGAAGAAGCACTGTGAGAACCAGGGGAATCTTCTCCACTTTGACCGGCAAGCCCCAGGCCGCATTTCCACCTCTCCCACTCTCAGGAGATTAAGGGGCAGCGGCTATGGGACTTCACGTTTGCTGCCTCAGCAAGAGACCTTGGAAATGCCCCCCTGGGAAAGCTGGAAGGAGCTTGCAGGCTCCCCATGTTACCTTTCCAAGAGTCTACCTGGAAGCCCAAAGGAGTCTTCACACTCCCTATCGCCCTTGAGACTCCACTCAAGATTACCCACAGACCCTAAAAGGACCCTCAACACAGCTGACCCATTCGAGCCCCAAAAGGGGCCCACTGATGAGAATGCCCTTCCCGTGCTTCAGCCCGCCGAGGAGCGGTCACTTCCTCAGGCCCTTCTTCCAAGGAGGGGAGGCCACTCATCGCCCAGCCCCGCCCCACGGCCCCCTAGTCCTCAGGTAACACGGCTCTAGGCCTCCTGCCTCTCATTCGGTGGGCCGCCAAGCGAAATAGGTCTCCGGGTTGCCCCATTGCCCCAAAGGCCGGGGGTCCTGTGATGGGAGACAGCACAAAAAGTCACCGCTGAGGGGACACACACTCTTTAGGACACATTGGCTCTCAAGTAAAAGGGGTGCAGCAGGTTGAGGAAGAGAGAGAATGGAGATCTAGCTCACTTTCATCTTCTGTATCCTGGAAGGCACTTGAAGGAGGGGTCCACACAGGTCAGGCTAGAGATGGTGTGTCGGGCACTGGATAGTAACGATGGTGGCCCTCTTGCAAATACACACGATTGGAAGACAACCTGGTGTGGCTGGTTTAAAAGAGGAGAAAGAGAGAGTTATTCAAATTTATAATCTTCTCCCCTCCCCACTCCAAAAGAAAAATCCAAAACATTTTAGCTAGGAAAGTTAATTGCCTTTCTTTTCAAGATGTCTGCTTTGGAATTTTGGGTGGATTTGAGCAAAACTAAAAGACATATTTTTTAAATTTATTTCAGGGTGAAGAATTGCATCAATCCAGGTGTGTATGTCTTTATTTTCTCCAGGGCTATGAAAGCTGTTGACTGTTCACTCTTACATCTTTCTTTCAGTTCTGACACAGCAAATGTGTTGGCGTATTAATCAGGCACTTTGTTTTATAGCCCCCAAGTCACTCTTCACATTTATGGGTCAAAGAGTCTTAATTTTAAGAGTCTCCTTTAAGAGCACAGCATTTTGCTGTGGCTTTTTGCAGCAGAGTGGGACAGCCACGTGTGGTCATGGTTTTCATTTTGAATTGTCAGCGATTTGGCCTGTGGCTTAATTAACATCCACTTAGTAATAGCTTTTGTCAGGTAAAGAAAATGGAAAGGCCAGAAACATGCAACAGCTTTTCAGAGAAATTCAGAGGACAAGAACAAAAGGAACAAGATGTGTTGTTTAATCCAGGATGACCTTTAAAAAGCCTGTTGCAACAGACTGTACCTTTATCTAGAATGCAGGTGGATTGTGTCACTTCCGAAACCAGCTCTGAACTTTCAGCATGGTCCCCAGGTTGTGGCAATGGATTTGCCATCCCTCTCAGGGATGAAGAGCTTCTGCAGCAGCAAGGGAAAGATCCCTGCCCAATTTCACCCACCCAATTTGTGAGATTGGTGGGAAAACCCTCATTTCATTTGGAAAGTCACAGAGGAATCCTCAGGGAATTAGCCATCAGTTTTTACTGGACCTCGATCCTCAAGCAAGAGTTTGCTGTTCATAGTAGGAAGGGAGATCCATCTATGCAGTCTTTGTTGATTTTAACCCTACTTGACTTAAATATATGAACAAAGATAGAGGATATACAAAATCACAGAAAAATATGGCTGAACTCAGGGGCAGGAAATTATGTGTCACCAACAGTGAGAGAGCACTGAAGTGTTATGTGGCAAAGGGTGGGGATACAGGGCTAGTGAAAGATGGGGCTGTTAATGCAAATCTTCCACAGGTGCAAACCAGAATAAAGCTCTAAAATGATACCTGATTCAGATGTGTCACAGAAAGTGGAAAAGAGAGCAGGTTTAGAAAAAGATGATGATGTTAATTAGAATCAGTCATGTGTAGTTTAATAGGAGGTTTAAGGATTTTGTTCCTTACCTTAAGAGCAGTGTGAAACCATTGACTGGGTTGATATGATCAGATAGATACAAGGGAGAGATGAGATTTAGATGACGATGGACTCCAGCAGAACAACTAGAATGTTCAGGTAGGAGAAGTTGGTAGGTTAGGCTCTGATGGAGGCAGTGGAGTTAGAAAGAAGCATCTCAAGTTCAAGGGCTATTTAGGAGATATCATCACCTAGACTTTCTGAATGGTAGACCATAGTGGTGAGGGAAAGGAAGTCCTCCTTTCCAACCTCAAGAATGACCTGCAAGCCTCTAGCTTGCACCACTGGGTGACTAATTGTTCCATTCACTGATCTGGGTAACCTAGTGGGAGAGGAGGCAAACAGATGGGTGGCATGTAGGTCTTGACTTCAAGTCTAGATATGTTGAATTTGAAGACCTATGGAACATCTGAGTGGAGATTTTGAGTAGATACTCGATTAGAGAAGGCATCAGAGATGGAGATATGGATCTGAAAGTCTTTAATCAGGGAATGCTTCCCAGAGCAGGTGAAGTCAGTGTCCAGCCTTGATTATAAGATGGAGTTAGCAGACATAAAGGCTAAGTGATGGGACTCATCAAGCCTTTTGCAAAAGATGACACGCAGGTAGTTTTTATTGACATGCAGAATCTTTGTGAGGCAGTAACAGAAACAGTCTTGGTAAATTCAAAGGAACAACTTGGTCAAAGAGCTGAGGCCTTAAAAATCTCTGTGGGGTTCAATATGTCACAATTACAGACTGCATAATAGTGGAAGGTTACGGAAAGTCACAACAGGAAATTAGAAGGGAGGTAATTTGGACATCTTGGTATCTAGTGATGACCCTGAATTAATCAATATTTTTTCTGCAGGACTTAGTACAATACTTGGTATGTAGTAGGCAAGGTTTGTTGAATGAACAAATGAAAGACTAAGTAACCATAAACTATGAATTAATATGTTAAACATTCATATATGACTAACTAATAAAGCAAAAGTAATTTATTCATCAGCCATAGACCACTCAATCTACACTTTTGTTAGTTCACCCTAAGCATGAATCTTTGGTAAACAGCTAACCATCTATGGCACAAAGTTCCTCTGTCTGCCAGTCTTTTACTCCCTCCCTCTCTTCATGTCCCTGCAGTATTTTCCACAGCAGCCATTTGTTCAAAGGGCTAGTGCCTGCCGATGGCTACTCACCAGGCTGTGTAGTCATATAATGTTGGGAAAAGAGCTCTACCTGTGACCCTGCTGTCCATTCAGGAGCTAGGGGCCTCACCTCAAAAAACTTCTTTAAACTTTATTTTAAACTTATTTAAACTTATTTAACTTAGGCCTTTAATATGCCTGTTAAATGGTATAAACCAGAAGCTAGCAAACTACGGCCTATGGCCCAAATTCGGCCCACTGCCTGCTTTTATAAATAAAGTTCTATTGGAACACAGCCACACTCATTCACTTAAATAGTATCCATGGCTGCTTTTACACTGCAGTGGCAGAGTTGAGTAGTCACTACAGAGATGGTATGGCCCACAAATCCTAAAATATTTATTATCTGATGCTGGTCCCACGGCCTAGTGGCTAAGTTCAGCACACTCCACGTCGGCAGCCCGGGTTTGGTTCCTGGGTGCAGACCTACACCACTCATTGGCGACCATGCTGTGGCAGTGACCCACATACAAAATAGAGGAAGATGGGCACAGATGTTAGCTCAGGGCCAATCTTCTTCAAGCAAAAGGAGGAAGATTGGCAACAGATGTTAGCTCAGGGCCAAACTTCCTGAGGAAAAAAAAAAAAACCCTATTTATTACCTGATGCTTTATAGGAAAAGTTTGCTGACCCCTGGTATATTTGATTAAGAAATGCTTGCCTCTGTGGCTGTCAGTCCATCATAACATTTTTTGCCTTATAGAATAGATGTAAAACCTTTTTTCAGAAAAACTGATTTTTCTTTTATCATAGTGTTTTAACACATGGCCTGACAAGTGAGCAGACTCATGTAAATGAGAAGGGCCCAATCTACTCTCAGTTCTGAAATCAGCTCAGTGTTATGACTTTGATTCCAGGTGTTTCTTTGTGAACTTTTTTTCTCATCGTCATTCCCTCTCTCCCTCTATGGTATTTCAGTGAACTCATACTCACTCAAAACCTTCTTCTCCTATCACCAAAATATACCTCCTGGAAAAGAATCTTTACAATTCATTCTTACTATAGTGTGAAGGACTTTAAGCTTAAGGAATATTTATACTCGTCTTTCCAAGTAGGACAGTGTATTCCTCCCTTTTGGGTTGCCCTACATCTTATAAATGCCTCCATCATAGCATCTAAAACACTGTATTGCATTTCTTTTATGTTAATCTGCTTCCAGAATCAAGACCTTCCTGAGAGCAGAGACCACTTGTTTATCTTTAAACCTCTAACACCCAGTACCCAGCTAGAGTCTATCTCCACAAATATTTATCAAAGGAAAGGACGGACAGAAGAAGGAAGCCAGGCAGGCTGGCAGAATCCGTGGTTCACAGTGTTACTTGTCTCTCCCCGATGTATTTGCATTTTGACAGAGGACATGACTTGAAGCCAAGCAATAAAGCTGTGTTGGTGGGATTTTAAACCTCAGGAAGCATATGGGGTAGATTTTGTAGGTAGGGAGACCTTCCTGGCACCCCTTAAAATTTACATTCACAGAAAGTTGTCTATCTCACCTAATTTTCTTGTCAGCCCTGAAGCTGAGAAGGGAAATACTTTGTCCATTAGAACAAAGACTAACCTTCCAGTGCTCAAAAAAGAAAAAAGCTATATGTATCTAAATTAGCAAGTGGGGCAACATTAACATGAAAACCAAATGACAAGGTGTTTGAAAGTCTATCTCCAGGAATAAGCCAAACAAAAACACTGGACGCCAGGAGAACATCCCCCAAAGACATTTGGAGTTACCCTTCAGGGGCAGCATAATGTAATGTCAAGAGCTGTTGGAATCTAACTCTCTGGGTTTGAATTCTGTCTCTACTTCTCTCTGGCATTGTGACCTTCGGCAAGTTCTTTAGCAACTCGAAAGCTCAAAATCTTCACGCATGAAGTGGAGATACAAATAGTACCAACCTAATAAGGCTTTTGATAGGATTACATAGTATAAGTAAACATTAGCAATTATTTTTCTTTGAAGAAACCATTCATTTGTTTATTCATTCACTTATTCATTAAGCACTTCTTATATGCAGGTCATTGACTTATTCTTTCTAAAATATTCTGACATCAAATTGATTACAGGAAACTCATCTGATGCATCTGAACATTAGATTCGATACAATATTATATCCTCTGTAGACTTTTATTTAAAACCTGCTATAAGCTAGCACTGTCTATAAACT